GGGGCTTTTAACACTAAAATGCACATATCTCTGCTTCAGCATATATTCCTTGTCTGGCTTGGTAAAAACTTCTGCAATGCACTGCAATTCATGCAGATTTGGAACACAAAGATTGTTTAGTCTGGCAAAGGTTTGGTTAAGGAGTAATCTAACACCAGCCTATAAGTACTTTGAGGGCAGAAACAGAGTTGAGGGTACTAAATTCTCAGTGGTGCCAGGTGATCTAATAGATGGCAGTGGCCACTGTGGGCGGTTCTGAAAGTGGATTAAGAAGTAATTCTTCACCAAGAGCACTGGAACAGGCTGCCCAGAGAAGTGGAATTTCCATACATGAAGGATTTCAAGTCCCGGCTGGACGAAGCTATGTCTGACCTGATCTAGTGATAGTGATAGTCCCACTTCAATAAGCAGTTATGCTCTGGAGGAACACCTCAAGATGTCTTTTCTAACCAATATTTCTATGATTCAGTGATTCTATGATTAAGGTACTCAGGCTAGTATAGTCAGTATTGTTGCCACAGGAGAAATTATGGCTGAGATTTGTTGAAATCCTAGCTTTGAAAATATCTCCTTGAACAACAAAGTGACTTGGAATGATTACCCAGCTATAGGTACAGAAAAAATGCTTACCCAAATTACATCTTGTATAGCCTCAGTAAATTCAAATGAATTACTTGATGTTACTGCAGATTTGAAGTATCAAATGCCAGAGGAAGGATGAAAGAATTATTATTTGGATAATGTTGGAATTTTGAGAATTGTAGCAATAACAACAAACTAGGCAATATCTCATCTTCCAAGAATATTAGGAAAAAAAATACACTGAGGAATCTACATGGATTTTAGAAAGTTAAATTGTTCCACAATCCTAATGCGATGACAGGGTAAAGCCTATGCTAAATGAGTCTTGGATCATCTCATTATGCCTGAGGTCAATTCAAACAGTACTCTGCACCTGCATTTAGGCACTGAACTGGAGCCTTGATTCCCTTTGGATGTGATGGGAGTTGACACACAAATCACATGTAATCCATAGGTCAAGGGAAGTAGTTATTCCCTTCTATGAAGCACTCATTACACCACATCTGGAATGCTGCCTCTGGTTGTGGAGCCCCTGCACAGGAAAGGTGTTGATGAGCTTGAATGATCTTAGCATAGGGCCGGGAAGATGATGGAAGGGCTGGAAGATGTAACCTGGTGTGGGAGGCTGAGTGAGCCAGGCTTGTGCTCTGCACCAGTGGGGTGCAACAATAAAGGGTGTGGCAAAATAGCTGTTTTCATAAGGTAGGGTAGAACCAGAAATACAGATAGGGAGGAAATCTTAGGTTGCTTCCAATGCTGGGAACCCTGCTTTTGTGCATCATCAGGCAGACATCAGATGGATCCTCCCCCAGCGCACTGCACAGATGCCGTCTGTGGAGGGGTTCCTCCTCCCTCCCACACTGTGGAGCCTTTTATTTTGTGTAGCAAACAATCATGTAACTTCTCCCGACAGTCTGGGATGTCATCTCTGTCATAACATTCACCAGTGCCAGCACAGGCTTTAAGTACAAGGCTCAGTAGAGCAGACATGTCCTTGTCAAGCTCACTAACTTCTCAAATACAACATTTTCTGTAAGGCTCCCAGTACAGCTTGTTCATCCTGGAGGAGAGATGGCTTCAGAGTGCTTCCCGGTACCTACGGGGAGGCAGGCAAGAAGTCTGAGCCAGGGTGTTACTGAGGTCATGGCACAAGAATGAGAGAAGATGCTCAGAATCAGGGGAGGGTCTGGTGGCATATAAGGAAAGCTTTTTCAAAATGAAAATAATTAAATATTCTCAACCAATTACTCAAGGAGGTTTTGGGGTCTAAGCTCTTAGAGGTTTTCAAGACTTGACTGGACAAACCCTAAGTAAACTGGTCTGAATTCGGTGTTGTTTCTGCCATAAGCAGCTGAGTGATTCTGTAATTCTAAGCAGACACCTGAATTTAAGTCTTAATCCATGAGCTGAATCCCTCCCTACTAGCTAACCAACAAAAATTAGATGAGAGCCCTCACTGAGAAATTCAGCAGAAGTAAATTAAAATGTGCCTTCCCACACTACTGAAAGTCAGTAATTTAGGAAAATAATTTAACTTGGACAGATATGGCTTGGAATGGAGCAAAGCCGGCCAGTAGGAGAAGGACACTATTCGGGTAAAAGAACAGCTAAGACTACTTAAGCATTTTCATCTGTTATCCTGTTTTAATTTTCTCAGCAAGTTATATTCCCAGAGTGGATTCAATTTCATGTCTGCTAGCATGGATGAAAAAGATGGAAAGGGCAGGGTTATAAAGTTATGAAACCATTAACATATATTGAACTGATTATATGCAAGATGGAGTAGAGTCTTACATCACTAGGGCAATTTGTACAAGGAGGGCCACCTTCCATTTTAGAAACATGGCAAAGGCTACTTGTTGCACAGTGTGCTTGCCCTTTACCTACATCCACATGCTGGGCCTGACATCTATTATAACATGTCTGCAGCCTAGACAATACGTGCTGTGTACATGTGTAGGCCTAGGAAGAGTTGCATGTTCCCAGGGATCTTGTTGGACTGTTCTCGGTATAGGTGATAAACCACATTTGACTGAAATAGATGTCTACCCACACATTATGCATTGTGAAAATCTTGCAAATATGGGCTTCTGGTACTATATTCTGGTTAGTCTCCCAATAGTATTCCAGAAGTGACTTGTGTTGCATATTCTGGTCTTTTTACATATAATTCCTTGATCATCTTTCAGATCATGAAATGTAAGCTTATTTTTATCTTTTATGCCTGATCCTGGGCTTAGTTTTCTATTCAACATGTTCCTGTTTCAACCCACTTAGTCCTTCCTCTGCCTAGATTACTCTGTATCCTGCTAGAAGAATAACGATGCCACCTGTCTTTTTGTTAACTCATAGAGTGAGGATGGTCAAGGTAAATGATTTTGGAACTCCTGAAATTTTGTCTCCATCTGAAGGCAGAACTCGAGATCAGCCAGTCTACTCTACAACACAGTTTTTGCCATCAGCAGATTGCCAGGGGTTCGTGGTCTGTGACCAGTTCAGTTACTCTTCTGCAAGTTGCTGGGTGAAGGGAGAGTGAGGGTAGACACAAACCCATTTATTCCGTTATGGTCTTCCCATGCTGTTTCCTACTAATCAAGATAGATTCCAAACTGGGGGCAAAACTAAAAGGAAACAACCTCAGGAATCCAAGTTTCCCATAAACAGGCTTCTATTTAGGAAAAAATTATCAGGTATATTAGATTAAGTTGTTATTTCATACTCTTTGCAACATGGTCTTAGAGAAAAGCTGTTGTAGGCTCAGGCAGCTGCAGCAGTGTTCAGCCAAATCTGGATTATGGATACTTACAGCTGCTGTCAGCGGCAAAGATTCCTGAGATTGTTCAACTTGTCTGTTGTCTGTTCTCATAGTCTTACCCTCTCCTGAGGTATTAACATCAGTCTCATGATGGGATGGAAGGGGGAAAGAGGGAGAGGAAAGAGGTCATGCTGGTTTCATAAACTGTTGCAGTCTACCTCAGCATCCTGTTTATGAATTTTGCCCTGCCCCTGTCCGTTGATACATGACAACATTTAGTGCCAAAGAGATGGTAGTTTGTTCATGAGATTCCTGAGCTAGTTTTATAACATAGTCATGATCACAGTGATTAATCAGTGTAGGTGCAGTATTGTGTACTATACATGCAGCATGGACATACTTTTAACTTTACCGGTTTCCTTTTCAGAAAAACTTCAAATTACCAGTCTCCTGACTGTAGCCAAAAGGATATGAGTGCTCTAGCTTCAAACAAGATTGCATACATATATGTGTTATCTTTCATATTAAATTGATTCATTTTATTAAATCTCTCTTTTGTGATTAAGAGGGCAGACTGAGGGAGAGTAAATGAAATTAAATCAAAATTGTATTTCTTATCTGCCACTAACAATATGCAACAGTCATACTGGAAGGTCAAGGAGCAATGAAATTCTTGTGGTCATGATACAATTTACTCCACAAACATAAAAAAGATTAGGTACTGAAAAATGACCTCCCAGCCTTTAGCACTATAGTAGAATAAGGACTCCTGGAAATTGTTTCATTGTAGAGACCTTTTCCTTAGCTGGATTTCCCACTGAATTTTCACTTATTTTTCTATTACATTCTCAGTAGACTCACAGTCCCTTTAAAAGTAATTTATTTCACATGTGTTATTTTTCATTTTGCTGAGAAAAAAACTCTGAATCTTGACCCTGTCTTGAAATGAAAAGATTATTTTTAGGACAGTTCAAATATTTTTTTTTGTTTATTTGTTTGTTTGTTTTGTTTTGTTTAGAATCAGGTGACTCCAAAGAAAGAGAAGGGAAAAAAAAGAGCTATGGAAAAATGCATTTCTTTGTCTCTGCTGCATTTAGGATGTGGTCATGCCCGAGTAGCCTAGAGAATTGCCATCACATTGTGCCTGAGCTCAGGGGCCCAACTTTCCGTCTACGTATAAACATTCCTCTGCTTCAGCCGCAGCATGCACTTCTGGTTTGTGTAAAAAAAGATGTGCAAGAACTCTCCTGAGTAAGATCATTTAAGTATGATTTTGGCCACAGCTATTTACAAGTTCGGGTTTTGACTGAAGTGAGTAATTGAATTACATTGAGCCTCTGAATTTTGCCTTTTATTTATGTATTTCCCCCAATTGTGTGGCTCAGTCTGCCATTGGCTGTGGTCCCTGCAGCCTACCCGAGGGCTCTGCAGTTACATAAGGCTCTGTCTGCTGGGAGCCTATATAAAGCCTTTTTGCATGCCAGCAAGAGACAGAATTTTATCAAGATCCAGGTCCCACTGCTTTAGTTCACACAAGCAGGAGGAGATTTGCTTGAAGATACACCGAAACCCGAACCCAGGGCTGGTTTGTTTGCTAGCCACTACTTCACAGCTGTCAACCTGAGTCGCAAGTAGCAGCTACTGTAAGTAGCTTCTGTGCACTATGAAGAATTTTTCATTTCCTATGCAGGATAACACACATCAGACCGAGAGTCCTTCTCCTCACAGATTCCTGAGTTTGACAAATCAGTCAGATCCTGTTGGAAGACCAGAAAGAAATGAGCAATTAGCTCAAGTAGAGATTGCTGTACTGGGGGTCATATTTCTGGCAGCATCTGTGGGCAATTTTATTCTCATACTGGTGCTGTGGCAAAGAAGAAAGAAGCTCTCTAGGATGTACGTGTTCATGCTTCACCTCAGCATCGCTGACTTAGTGGTAGCCTTTTTTCAAGTGCTGCCTCAACTTATATGGGATATTACAGACATTTTCATAGGGCCAGATTTTTTGTGCAGAATTATCAAGTATCTACAATTGCTGGGCATGTTTGCCTCTACTTATATGATAGTGGTCATGACAGTGGACAGATATCAAGCAGTTTGCTACCCTATGGTCACTTTCCAAAAGAAGAGAGCTCTCTGGAACATCCCCATTTGCACCAGCTGGTTTATATCACTGATTCTTAGCCTACCACAGGTATTTATCTTTTCTAAGACTGAAATATCTCCAGGTGTTTTTGAATGTTGGGGTGAATTTATTCAGCCATGGGGCCCCAGGACATATGTGACTTGGATTTTTGTAGTTATATTCTTCATTCCCTCAGCCATCCTTATCACATGCCAGGTTAAGATTTGCAAAATAATCAAAAGAAATATTTATGTGAAAAAACAGAATGAATATGAAGTAACAAATCAGAAGCAAGTCCTGCCATCCCGAGCAAGCAGTGTGAACTGTATTTCAAAGGCTATGATCAAGACTGTAAAAATGACAGTGGTGACAGTTGTTGCATATGTTCTCTGTTGGTCACCTTTCTTCATTGCACAGCTGTGGTCTGTGTGGTTCCCCAGTGTCGTGACCGAAGGTAAGATACTCTCCATCCTCACTCATAACTTCATATCAGGCTAGCACATTGCTGTATTGCTTTATATTTGCACTTTGCTTTTGTGTAAAAGTTACATATGATCATTTGAGTATGATTAAAAAGAAAATCCTGGGTTGATTATCTATAGTATTTAATTAGTTACAGAGAATTTGATGTGTTATGTGATCAAAACATCATATCAGTGTGTGTATTGTGTGTGTGTTTTGAGTGATTAATGATTTAAAGATTAATGAACAGCTCAGTGAAAACTATCATCTACTCTAGCAAGGTTTTAGACTTTTAGAGGTTTTAGATATTATAGTAGCAGTATTTTGGGTTCTTGAGGTGAAAATGAGTAATTAACTATCAGTAATATCATAAATATTACTTATTTACTGGATGGAACAGTGATGTTATAAGACATCTGATTTTTTTTTTTTGTGAATATAAAATCATATTGATGAAATCTCTTTAGTATACCATAAAACAATTAGAAGTTGTGAAACAAATGTTTATAAAGCAAAAAAGCAAGCCTGAGAGAGGTATCAAAGAACACACTGTGGTAAACAAGATTAATTTTGTCAGACTTATACTATTGCCTCTTTGTGAAAGGCAGACTCTGTATGTGACTTTATTTAAGTTCACCTATTCTAAACTCAAAGGTATAAGACAAAGGAAAAAAAGGTGATAGCTCCGTCTGATGAGAAAAAAAAATCTTCTGATCTTTGCTTTAAGAATTCTTCCTGTCAGTGTGAATTTAAGTCTTATTCTACATACATTTATATTAATATATAAATCTGCATTTGTCTGTATCTGCGTAGCAGGTTAGTAATTGCTTTTAAATTTAATCTAAGCTACATCAAAAAAAAAAGCTATATGGAAGTATTTACCTCTGAAATGCATACAATATAGTGTGCTTCATACCTTCAGAAATTACAGATTTAATTGAATAAATGGGAATTTCCTACTATTAGATTAACTTTAATATATGAACAGGTATACCAGAAAGCAGCAGACTGTGCAAATGTTACTTATTTATATGAGTGCTTTATTTACTCTGTTATTCATTTAACTATTTCATTCTAGGTTCGGCATTCACCATTATCATGCTCCTTGGCAATTTAAATAGTTGCACCAACCCATGGATTTACATGTATTTTTGTGGCCACATTCCATATTGCTCAAATAAGCAGCTGGAGAACACCTCGACTCAAGAGGAATCGGTGATCACAGGGAGCATTCATCTTGTAGACAGAGACCCTGAGGAAAACAGTACTTCTGCATGAATGTTGAATGCTTTTTGCTGTTTTGTTACATTTTTTATGTTCAGAAAACTATTGATATTTTACCAGCATCTCTTGTTTTGTGGATAAGGAAGCTGGAAAACCGTCTTACGTTGTATAAATATATTTCTTAGTTATGTAGCAATTTCTGTGTTGTGCAAGCCTGACTCGGTACTTCCATTACCTGTGTTACCAGAATGAATTCTTGTAGAGACTGACAAAGATATGTAAAAGTATCTTAGGTATTTTGTGTCCTAAAGTACTTTCTGTTTTGTGATTCTGGATTTCAAAGTAGTAAAATTTTACAACTAACTAGTCCAACAAATTGAAACATAACTGGAAAGGAATCTAACATAATTAGACTTGAATATGTTTTCAAACTGAACCATGAATTGTTCATCATTCTGGTGTGATTGAGGGACAGTCTAGAAAACCTTGAGAAGACAGCAGAAAGTCAGAAACATAATTTGACAGATATTATTAATACCTGATTTAAATTAACTCCTCATACATTTATAAAACGCCAAGCAGCTTAATATAATTTTTTAAAACAGAATTCAGTGTCCCTGTGACACTGAACATCTACTTCAGTCTCAATTGCCATTCTGGATCTCTGGTAGCAGCAGCATAGTAGCAGTCCAGCTTTGTGACATGACACCATGGGATGTGATCTTCCATGCGTTCCCTGATGTGCAAGCAGTTAACTGACCCTCTCCCCTCCACCTCCCCACCCCCCCCCCCATACACACATGTATATATACTTTAAATAAAAACGGGTGCTAGGAATGTACACTTTCATTTGGTATTCAGACCTACTTCTTCTGGCATGCAATTTATTTACAGAGTGTGCTTAGAACCTCTTCGGGCTCAATTTCAATTATCTCCCCTTCATGATAAAAATAAATCTGCGTATCTTTATCCTAAAATGCCATTTGCTTGCTAGTTTGTGGGTGTTTTGTGCAGGTAGCTATTTATTTCCCTTTCAGTGTCTGCAAACTAATCAGAGGAATGTGGAAGGAATATCAGCAAGGATCTTCCAGCTGAGAATAGAGCTGCATTCATGGAGGTACTTGGTAATACTTGTGTATCATCTGCCTACATTATACAACGTTTCATCAGTGCTATTCACATTTCGTTTTTATAGGTGCTAACAATCTCAGAATTCAATGGAAAAGCTATAAAAGTGGGTTTTTTCAAGTAGTCTTTAAATTGTACTGAAAGAAATATTGATTTAAACTAAATACTGATTGGCTTGTGAGAAGTGCTTGTGAGAATAGTTACGCTTCAAGTTAATGTGTGCTGATATGACTGAATATTCTATGATTTCTATTCCCTGTATAGTTAGACCAGGGGTTGAACCAAATATCACTGTTCTTTATGATGGGAAAAGCTGGTGTCCCAGTCCAGCTAGCAAGAACAGGTCTCCAGCAAGTAGGAAGAAGAAGAAGGTGGATGAAGATAGTATCAGAGCCAGACAGAAATGGGAAGAGTCTGTATGAAATGATGAAGTCTCTTACTATAATTGCAGTTGATACTTTTTTCTTGCTGTTTTGTTTGTTTGTTTGTTTGTTTTTTTTCTCCTCTATTTAATTAATAGTTATTAATTCTACCCCACAACATGTTCCCTGTTAGAGCATTTCTGTAACTCAAATTACAGTGTCCTTATCTGAGGTACGAACATCCAAGATACAATCCAGACTATTGATAAGATATTTGTTATATTCAACCACTGACTTTCAGTCAAATTATCTCTCAGTTAGGTTCTCCCTTATGGCTTAATCCAGCAGTAAGTGGTGGGGCTTTTTGTCTTTCTGCTTCCTTTGATTGCAGTTAGTTACAAAGTAAAATATGCAGTGTTGAAAGGAACTGTAAATAGAAACGCTTCAACAGTACAATAGAAACGCTGTCATTGTACTGATGGATTTGTAGCCAAACACACGGAAAGCCTCAAAAGGTATGCATTTGCAAGGAAAACAGGCATTCAAATTGCATGCAGTAGTCATCCAGATCCAGAACTGACGTAAGTCACAGTACTGCTCAGAGACTGCAGTGCTGTTGTGCCATTTTACACCACCTGATCTGGCCTCTGATATTTAAAAAGTATAACTTCTACTACTTACATTTCTCAATTGCTCTTATATTTGTTACTGGCTCTATAAGTAATTATGTAGAGCTTGATTTTTCAAGTAACAGTGGCTCAATGTGTTCTGTAGAAGTCTGAGAGCAATATTAACTGTCATATTTCAGATATTTTGATCATGTAATGAATGAAATGCCAGAACTTCTAAAGTTTGATAATGAATGCTCACTGTCTGTAATGTTCAAAACAATGATATCTTAGTCTCTTAAGTGCTTTCTTTCTGATTTTTTCATTTTCTTTCCCCTGAGATCTGTCCTGCTGTTAAGAAGAAAAATAAAGGTTACTGTAATACGGTGTCAAACTACAAGCTATGGACACTTTTCGTTTCAGTCCATCAGGAGGTAATAGAACACTGGTATGCGTGCTTTTTTTCCTAGCAAAGTGAATTGGGCTGCATTTTCCAGATATAAGACATTATCCCATGTGGTCTGCCCCTATGAGGAGCACTGACTCCTGGCAAACACTCAAAGGGGAGTTTGGTTCTGGTCCACAATTTTCTGTCAAGTAATGGAAAATTAGTTTTGATAACTCCTTTTTTTTTTTTTCTTTCCTTCCCTAATAAACTGTCCTTCACAGGACTTTTCTTATTTCTTAAAGAAAAAGACATTTATCATAGAATCATAGACTACCAGGTTGGAAGGGACCTCAGGGATCACCTGATCCAACATTTCTGTCAAAAGCATGGTCTAGACAAGATGGCCCAGCACCTTGTCCAGCTGAATCTTAGAAGTGTCCAATGCTGGAGAATTGGCCAATTCCCTGAGGAGATTCTTCCAGTGGCTGTTTTTTCTCATTGTGAAAAATTTTCTTCTTGTGTCCATTCCAAATCTCCCCAGGAGTGACTTGTACCTATTACCCCTCGTCTTTTCCATGTGACTCCTTGTAAAAAGGGAGTCTCCACCTTCTTTGCAGCCAAACTTTAAATAGTGAAACATAGTGATAAGGCCTCCCCTAAACATTCTCTTCTCAAGGCTGTACAAACCCAATTCTCTCAGCCTTTCCTCATACGTCAGGCTTCCCAGTTCCTTGTTCATCTTTTTGGCCCTTCTCTGGACCCTCTCCTGCCTGTCCACATCTTCTATGTATAGCAGAAAAAAACAAAACTAAACACAGTATTTCAGGTGTGGCCTGACAAGCACTGCGTAGAGAGTGATAATGACTTCTTTGTCCCTGCTGCTGATGCCCTTGTTCATGCAACCCAGCGTCCTGTTGACTTTCTTTCCCACTGCAGCACACTGGTCACTCATGTTGGGCTTGTTGTCCATGAGGACCCCCCAGGTCCCTTCCCACACAGCTACTCTCCAGCCAGCTAGATCCCAGTCTGTGCTGCACTCCTGGATTATGTTTTCACAGGTGAAATTTAAAAATATAATGAAATTTTTCTCTGTAAATTTGGCCATCAGTTTTCCTGGGAGTTGTAGTTTGAACATCTCATGCCTTTGTATTCTTCTATATTTTGATTCTTCAGCTGGACTGTATCTTTTCCAGTTCACTGTCGCTTAGGTTTACAATAGGCATTGTAGTGTCTCATTAAGAGAGATGACTGTGAGACATTGCTGTAGTCTGGCCAGAGTGTTTAATCCATATGGGAGCATAATAAACTCAAATGTACAAGTCCCTGAAGGCACTGTGGAAGCATTTGCAAATAAAAAAATCCAATTATCATATGAAAGCCTTCCTCATCAATGCCTAATTCCTGTTTTCTCACACAAATCATTTCTGAGCAGAAAATTACACAGCATACAAGTTCACACTCTCAAAGTGGATGGCTATGTTCTTGATACTGGCACTGCAGTAGTTTCTGGCTATCTGGGAGGGTGGTGTGTGTGGTATGTGTGTGTATTGACTTACCAGGGTTTTCTTACCATTTGGGAAAGGCACAGTTCAGTAAAAGAAATTAAATTATTTCTTAAAAATTATTGGTCTGTGTTTTGCAGTACAGATAAGAAGAATCAGATACAATATAAATCCATGAATTCTGTATAGTTTTATTACATAAAAAAACCCCACCACAAAACCCTAGTAGAATGAAAGGAAAATCCCAATATGTGTTTTGCATTCTTTACAGTGTATTTTGATAATTCTGTTATTATACAGAGCTGCTGCTGTATTTTCATAGCCAGTCCCAATTCAGATACTTGTAAATGGTGAATACTGAAGCCAGAGGTGTCAGGTGATAATCTCATCTTTCAATGAAATTATATTGCTAACTTTTAAAGACAGTGCCAAACTAATGTCCTGACAACTTCACTTTGATCACTTAGTTCTTAAAATGGTAACCAGTTCTTGGGTCAAATAAAATACTCCTGTCTCTGCATTGTTGGGGGAAGAATGTCAATGTGATGTGGAGCCCCAAATTGGAAATGGCAGAGTTTATTATGTGAGGCAGACATGGCATGCAGACATGGCTGTATTGTCTAGTTCACAAACACATGGCCAGGATAAAAGTATCCTCAAGAGCTTGTGAATGTTAGCAATTCTTGGATGAAGAGTATCATGAGCAGACAAAGGCAAAGCAATATGATCCAGCTACTCAGTTCTCTCAGTCAAATCCAGCCTCGGTTTCCTTAGAGAAAAATAAAAAAAAATACAAAAATTCTGTCTTCATAAGGTAGGGATTTGTCCCTGAGTGCCCTGGGTATCTACAGGAAACATCCATGATTGTGAACCAGATGACTTATACGTGCAGCGAAACATGATTGCAAACAGTAATTGCAATACAGTTCCCAAACTCTACCCGCTCATATCTCTTGCAGAGGTACCCCGAGTTTTTCTTCAATTTGCCTCTCTGGAACGAAAGGATAGAAGCTGGGTCTTTTTCTTGGGCTTATATGATCCTCCTACTATTGCCACTTGAAGACTTTCT